TATATATGAAAAATTTGTAATAGTTAAATGATTAATAGATAGATAATTAGAGAGTTTAAATAGATATAGCATTAAGTAGAGATGTATGAATGCATGTTTTTATGGCTTTGTATTGCATAATGCAATATAATGCAGCATGCAACATTATGCAATTATGCATTTTTATAAAAATTTTAATTTTTTCTATTAGTTCAATTTGCATATACAAGTATTATTATTGATTAAACAAAATATATTAACATTTGTTTAATAAGTTTTACAGCTTGTATAAATAATAAAAAAATTTTATATTTAATCATAAAGTGCTATTACTATACTTAGTAATAGAATTACTAAATTATAATATTATAATATTTAACTTTTTTAACTATTTTAAGTTTAATAATTTAAACATATCTATTTTTAAAATATATATTTAAGAATTAGACTATTTATTACTTTACTAGATAAATAGTAATGTTTTGTAGGCTGGAGTCTTAATTTCTAAGTTTTATGTTTCAGAATTAAATTTAAAATATATTTAGATTTTATAAATTGCTATTATATTTAATATTTATCATAAATTATAAAAAAAATAACCTGAGTTCTTCCATTAATCTTTGCTGTAAACATGTATTTTGCTCTAATTTTTGCAATCTATCAAAGGAGAACATGCTAATGAAAAGAAGATCAATAAGAGTTCAAACCCTTGATATACTTACAAATGTAAGACCAGTTTTAAATTCTTTATTTTCAAGATTTATTACAGCTTGTGGTAATATTAAATCTTGTGACTTATGAATAGTAATTGCCCAAGCAAGGCATAAAGGAAACTGCATATGTAAGCATGTTTCTGACTTTCTCTTTCAAGTATATTTAATAAGTTAAATTGGTACAACTTAATAATAGTTTGATATAGACAAAGTTGGCATAGTATAATTGTCCATTTTAATTAAAATTACTATAGGAAGTGAAGGAGATGTTCTTTCTAGCTTATATATAATATCTATGACTATACCTATTGCTCTATTAACTAAACTTTGATTAGTTCATAGATTAGAAATAAGCATTATACAAGCACTAATAAATAAAAATAAAACAGGTTTAAGGCCATTTGTTGTATCAAAAGATGATTATTTTATTA